TCCAGCTATAACTGCGGTTATAGGGCTAGAAACCAGGTTTCATGCCATGAAACATAGTTTCATGGCAAGAAACTAGGTTTTGTGAGCACGAAACCTGGTTTCGTGCGAGGAACCGTGGTTTCTCGAATTATGATACAAATGGCGCGGATGAAAGTGGGTTTCTTGCTGAAACCTAAGTTCTTGCTCCCAAAACCTAGTTTCCTGCTCACGAAACTAAGATTCCAGCTATAACTGCGGTTATAGGGCTAGAAACCAGGTTTCGTGCCACGAAACCTAGTTTCAAGGCAAGAACCCTGGTTTCTTGAGCAAGAAACTAGGTTTTGTAAGCACGAAACCTGGTTTCGTGCGAGGAACCGTGGTTTCTCGAATTATGATACAAATGGCTTGCCATACACACACGCACGCGCGCGCGCGCACGCGTATAGTTACAAGCGAACAGCGCTGTACCGCAGTCGATGCTATGCATGAGAACGTAATCAGATACGATAATGATGATGCAACGCGTGGCTATCGAATCAAGCCTAATTAAGTCCCTTGCGCGCGAGGGCGACCGGACTGTCATGATCAATTTTTGCGTTTCGTCGGATTCCTCTCTCTTGAGCATGTTAGTCGGTAATAGTTTGCCGTGATTGTGTTTCTATGGTGTGGATTCAATCATATCTCGGATACGGTGATGTTACTCCATAAGAGAGCAATCTCGGCCTACTGATTTACCGGGTCGGTTTTTCACGAGGTTGACATGAAAGGACCCATACCATTACCAGCTCTAACCAGAGAATTGGATGCTGGGTGAACTTCATGTCGTTGGAGTTTCACTCCTGCAAAACGGAGATTGATTGGCAATTTCGTTGGCTGTCTCGTTGTGGTATATGAGCGCAGATACCTGTCAGGTCTGCTCATCAGTGTGTGTGGGGGGATACGTGCGTGCGTGCGTGCGTGCGTGCGCGCGCGTGCGTATGTGTGAGTGTGCGTGAGCATGTGTGTATGTGTGAGGGTATGTGTATGTGTGTGTATGTGTTATGTGTAAGTATGTGTGTATGTGTGAGTGTGCGTGAGCATGTGTGTATGTGTGAGGGTATGTGTATGTGTGTGTATGTGTTATGTGTAAGTATGTGTGTATGTGTGAGTGTGCGTGAGCATGTGTGTATGTGTGAGGGTATGTGTATGTGTGTGTATGTGTTATGTGTAAGTATGTGTGTATGTGTGAGTGTGCGTGAGCATGTGTGTATGTGTGAGGGTATGTGTATGTGTGTGTATGTGTTATGTGTAAGTATGTGTGTATGTGTGCGTGTGCGTGTGT